GTGCAAAAGGGTTCATCTTCATTGTCTGTACCTCCCATGCACCCCTCTATGTATTCCTCTTCCTCAAAGCCACCGTGTTGATCACTCGCATTTGGTACATTGCCATTCTCTTCACCCCAACCAATACTTGTCTCTACCTATTTAGCAGTGTTCCTTCCTTCTCCCTCCCACTCCTGGTAATCAATAAAGAAAATTTCCTTCCATATATAAATCTTTCCTTGACTTTTTACAATAATGGACTAATACAGTATTTGTCCTTCTGTGACTGACTTACTTCTCTCCAAAGCTGTAAATCTTTATGGAAGTAGACTGCCTCATCTTCCTCCTGCAGAGCAGCTGGTGGGTTTGAACTGCTGACCTGGTTAGGAGCCAAATGCCTTACCCACTATGCCACCAGAGCTCCCTCAGCAGTCACCAATTGCCTCCTATACTTAACAAATCCAACAGATACTTTTAATTGCAATTCAGCCTAAAAACACTCTACCCAGAATACCCTGCCCTTCTGTCTTACTTGCCTGCTACCTACAATACATTGTTAAAATTCAGCTCAGGCATCACACCTTCTAGGAAGCTTCATCTGATTCTCCAAGTTGGGTGAGATGCCTCTCTTCACACTTCCACCCACTGAAGCATAGATTACAAAAAAAGAGAGTAACTCTGTTGATGAATGCCTAGAAAGTAGGGCTGTATTGTGGTGACCATACATTCTAGTTGGTCTGGGACAGTTTGGTTATGCCTCTTTTCATTCCCCAAAATGTCAAGGATTGGATGGTCACACTAGTACCCTTTTTGTCTCCTCAATGGCTAGTACAGCACACACAAAACAGGTGCTCAGTAAAAACTGTGGAATAAACTGGGTGCAAATTAGATGGTATTCTTTGCTTCTCACTTTTCATTCAAACCTGAAATGCTCTGGGATTTAAAAACCAACTTTGGCTAAATTTCACTATAGTGAATCAAAGTAAAGTATTTACTAAGTGAAGGGAGCACAAACTCCATTACAAAAATAAGCACCTAACAAAAACACAAACTTCATCCTGAGACGATTTCTCATGCCACACTAACCATAACACTTCCAAATGTGCTGACGAGAACGTCAGTGAGAGACTGAACATCTAATCAACTCTTACTTTTCCAGAGGGTCACTCATTTTTTTCAAGTTTCTATTGAACCGGAGAGCTTGAATATCTTGTGTCTCTATTTTGGGAGGTAGAAGTCCTTGAAGGCCAAGCATCTGTCGTTCCCGTAGTGTAAATGCCATTCCCTAAAGAGGAGAAATAAATGATTAAAAATTACTACTCACTGGAGTTAACAATGATGCTATCTTTTAAAATGTGGGAAAAAAAAAAAAGTATTGGTGAGAGTGTGGTAAAGGAGGGACTTTCACATACCACTGCAGAGCGTAAGTTGGTTAAGGCTTTTGGAAGAATAAAGTGTGCTTAATTTTTAATGCAGCTACTCTAAGTCAAGGAATTCTACTTGTAGATAACCATCCTACAGAAACAGTCATGCACAAAGTAAAGGAGCGTTATACAGAGATGACTGGTAGTACCATTTTTAGTTCTCCTGGCTGTCAGAAACTAACTACAAGTCCATCAA